TGAGGAGGTTAGGTATATTTAGAATTGAGATATTCCCTGAAGGAGCTTTTTTATGGGAATTTAAAAATATTCAAATAGATATTAACTTAAAATTATGACTGTTCTTTTTTCATGGGTCCTATAGATGATCTTCCCACTAAAGTTAGCAGTGCCCGTTTTATAGATCTCACAGAAGACTCTGCTAGCTTTGCAGCCACACGAGTGCCTTCACATATAAAACTTCATACCACAATTACATTTTTAAAACTGTTCTGAGGAAGAGGAAATCTAAATATGAGTACTATGTTTTCTAATACTTCTTTTCACTTTAAAAAATAAAGAAAACTTCTTACCTGAATATTTTGCAGAATGTTATAGAATCATGGTTTTTAGAGCTGAGATAGGACCCTAGACTCTCCCCCTCCTTCCCCTTCATTGAAGAAAAGAAACATAGGCCCCAGAAGGTAAAAAAGCTGCATAGCCAGTCAGCAGAGAAGTCAGAACAAGAATCCACATCTTTTGACTTCACATTCAGTGCTCTTTTCCCTACACCATGCTATGCTTTTGAAATGTGATATCTAATTTTTAAATATTCATTTATAAATAACTAACTCATTTTAAAAGCTGTATGAATTTTCAAATGAGATATAAAGCACTTTGTAAACCTCAAAAGTACTTATATAAACATTAATTAATGTTATTATTAATGTCCAGTACACCTCAGAAACTTTTACTCTCTAATTTTGATTTTTAATTATCTAAATAACTAGGGATAAAGAACAGATTTCATTGGTATGAGGAAATCCCTGACGAGGCTACCAACACGTTAACAACAGTTTCTCTATAACTTAAAATCTTAAGGAGGTGCCTAGAGCAGAGCTTCTTAAACTTTTTCCACTCGAAACCCAGAAGAGCACCTGCCCAGGATTACAGACAAGAGTCAGCTCGAGCTAGAGGCTGCACAGAGGTGTGAAAAGCCCAGGAAGACCCGAGTTCAAGTGTTGCTGCTGACACAATGCTAGCTGTATAACCCTGGGCAAGTCACTTCATTTCTCAACAGTCTAGGCCAGGGGTCCAGGCAACTCTCGTAAGACTAAAAGTTGAAGGGAAGGTGTTAAGTTGTGTTGATAGAGGGAAGCACCTTGTTTGCAGCTCCCTAGACCAGTGAAATCCCAGGGCCAGTCCTAGGAATATCCACATAGAAATGAATCAGCATTTTTGTAGGGAATGATCAATCACCAAACAAAAAAGAACTTTCTATGTTGGAATTTGGAATAACTTCTAATATCTGATCTCGATAAAGCTATTAAAACTGCAATGTCCTGAAGCATATACTTGGCATACTTCTTCCTGGTTACTCTAACAGTAACATGAAAATCAGTCATATATATGTGTTAGAAATAGTTATGAGGCAAAATATAAACTAATTTATTACTGACTTTGATTAGGAATTTAAGAGTGATCAGTTTGTAATTAAGATTCAATAGTGTTTACATTTACCAAAATTTGTAAATGGCTCATATTGTCTGAAAGCAGCATAGAGCCAAAAGCTTAAAAAAATCTAAATTACACAGTTTTAAAAACTGATTTCAGATCATTTTAAGCGATGCAAGTAATTTCTAGGTGTCAAGACTTTGCAGTTACAAAAAGGCAATTTTTAGACCTTAGGTATAAAAAAAATTTATATCAAGTAATTTTTTTTCTCCTTTGTACTCACATTTGTATTTACACAAGCTATCCTAAACTCTACTGAACCACATCTAAGAAGTTAGACACTAAATTATTATTTTTAAAGACTTAAAAAAATTTTTTTACTCCATTAGTTCAAATAATCATGTGCTGAGAAAACAAGGCAGAGCAGTTTACTTATGCAATTGAACAGATGGGTGAGGGGGTGGGAGAGAAGGAGGACAACCATTTGAGCTGATAAAACACCAAGCAAGTGAGCAGAAAGCATGGGTAATCCATATGTAGATCTTGGGATTCTACTCACAAAGTGACTTAACTGTGTGGTTTCAGGATGGGGGTGGGGGGGAGTCAGGTGGGCTTAAGGAATTCTCAGCCTATGAAGATCAAAAGGAGTAAAAAGAGAACAAGGGGGTCCTTCAGATAGGAAGGAAGAATTTTTCTGTATTCTTTACTGTGGATTTTTTATTCCTTACACCATCTTCTCTCACATGTTTCAAACATGATACTGGCACAAAACTTGGAAGAGAAAAAATGCTGGTAGAGTGAATCAGCAGCTGTTTGTAACTATAGGGAAGTCTCCATATCCATCTTAAACTGTAATGTGTATCCATAGACTCTTTCTGAAATTATTAATGCGCCACACAATAACTGTTTTTCTTTGGGCAGCTAGAAGAGAAGCACCATTCTGTCTTTTTGGTAGCTTGCTGTTAATATAATTTTACTGAGAATGAGGATAGCTGACATTTAATAACAGTGCTTTGATTTTCAAAGCATCTTTCTTACATTATCTTAGTTGAGCCTCACAACAGCCCTAGGAGGATAGGTACAAGTCCATTTTACAGATGAGAAAACTGAGGCCCAGAGAGGTAATGTGATAAGCCCATGGTCACAAAGCTTACTAGTAAGTGTTGGGAGCACAAGGTTCAAAATCAGGCCTTGCTGACTTCCAGCCTAGTACTGTATCCACTACAGAAAACTATAAGCAGTGAGATATGAAGACTTAGAAAAGCATACAAGAAGCCACTGTTAGAAACTGCCTGTTTCTCATCCAAAAATCATATTTCTAACCCTTTTCAATTCAGAAATCCCTATCTACTTCAATATTCGCATGTGGAATGTAACAAACTTTGGTTCTCAGAATTAAAAATTAATAGTCAGATCTGAAGCATTTTCTCCTCAGTTCCTAAAAGAAATCTATTCCATACCACCAAAATCCACGCTCATGTTGGAAGGTAACAAATGATAGTTGTGTTATGCAATGTATTTTAGGTGGGAGGGACTAAAGACCAAATTTCTCTAACTAAAACTGTAGCAGAAATTTAGAGCAACAGCAAAAGACTTGCACTATCAAATTTCTGTTAATGCTTAATTTCCTACATAAAAGAAATATAAAAGCAGAATAAGTAATCTTAACATATTCTCTTACCAAGTTCTTAATGTATTTTGCTGAAGAAGGATCATTATGAATATGAAGCTAAAACGTGCACTTTACACTACAGTAGTTAAAACTACTCCTGCTTTCCTTCTATGGAAAGGTGGTTTCTAATTTTTAATTAAAAGGCAATTTCATTTCCTAAAACAAAGAAGTGAAAGTATATGTATATACATAAATCTGTGAATGCCTTCCAGCAAAGTAGACTATACAAGCCAAATCTATTTTGCTACTAACTCCATTCTGGAATCAGGAGGTATATGTATCATCATAGAAAAATTCCCCTAGCAGATAGATATGAAAATCTTTGGTGAGAATGGGGTTAAGATGATTACTACAATGCAGTATTATACTAATATGGCTGTACCTACTTTTCCTTTCCAACTCTTGCTGATATCTTGAATTCTTCTTTGACCATCAAGGCACCTCTCAGAATCATGCCCCCTTTTGTACTTGAAATTTCTCTCATGCCCGAAGTCTCTTAACACTAATTTTCCAAAGCTTGTTTCCTTGCATAGTACATCTGGGTCTTTATGATGTCCGATACAGCCTTAATATGTTTATAGCAGTTGGTTCTGCCCTCTTATTCCATGATAGGCTATAGCCTAAAAATTCCTTAAGGATCTGATTATGTAAAAACAATTTAGTTTCCTGCTTCAAGTGTTCATGCAACAAGTGTTTACTTGCACGTTGGGGACATTGAGATAATTACGATAGCCCTGTGTTCAAAGAGCTTATAATTAATGGAGAAAGGCTACATCAGACAAGTTAAACAAGTACCACAACATAAGGCTGAATACGAAAAATGCCATGAGAGTTACAAACAAATCAAGGGAATTAGAGAGCACAATGATTAGGGAGAGATCATGGAAGGCTTCAAGAGGGAAATGGCATTTGAGCTGGGCATTGAAGGATGAACAGTTTCAAGAGAGAAGGAAGAAAGCCATTCATTTAAACTGAATTGCATCTGCAAAACATGTGGCCTGTTTAGGGTAGAGCAAATAATCCAGGTTGGCTAAGCGTAGGGATGGCATTTAAAGGGGTAACAGATAAGAAAAGAAGGGTTGGTTGGGGCCAGAGCACGGACACCAGTGCAAGGAATTTGGACTTGGAAGTCCCTGAACCAGAGGAATGACATAACCAGAGCTATGCTTCATTAGTAATTTTTAAATTCTATACTTCGAGTTTAGTTAAAATGAATGATGCCTGTAGTAGTGTATATTTTGTCTCATAAATGCATCTTTAAAGGTCATCATTAAGATGAGATATAAGAACAACACTGAAGGATAAGTATGTTTTTCATGCAGAAATAATTTAAAATAGGTAGATTCTTTTAATATTTTCGAAGGACAGCTAAAAGCTGCCACTACTCTGTGGTCCTACTCTGATGCTTCATTGTGGCATGGCCCTGAGTTCTTGAAGGTCTTGGCGGAAAGGCCTTGAATATGGGCTTATGCGTATGTACGTCTGCCATCTGAGGAACAATCCAGCTTTTAAGTACAAAAAGGCTCATCACCAGGTGATTGATTTTTTCTGGCTACAAAAACTCATTAAGGTCATCAAGCAAGACACAGGGGTTGCAGTGTGAGTTACCCGAGGGAATGATGACAGTAAGAAGATATTTAAAAGATTAGTTTTGCTTGTTCATTCTGAATATTTCTCTCATTTCTAGGTCAGGATTGCCAGCCATTTTTATGCTGCCAACACAAAAGAAACTATGAAGTCTCTGTTTATTGAAATAAAAATGTACCCAAATTTCCTAGTCTTGCAAAAATATGCTTTTATTTCACATACCTGCTTATATATGCTGAATTCCTCTACTGATTTTTCTTTCTAGCCTACAGACATAGCCAGGAAGCTCTGGTATTGTCATATTATTCAGCACTGTTAAATCAAATACCTGCACTGGTAGATCCAATTCCTGTGGTGAGCACAGATCTTGGAGTAATCTTTGCTGCATATTTGAGAAACTGAGATTTCCCTGTACCAGGGTCTCCAACCAGTAAAAGATGGGATTCACCTAGGAAAAAGTAAATGTGTAAAGCGTCACATGGCTATGAAAAACAATACAGGATACTTTTAATTGACTGAAAATTTTTTCTAGATTAAGTGAATTCTGAAGACTAACAAATAATTGGGGATGAAGGAAGGTAGGCCCTGAATCTACAGAATAGGGAACATCTAGAAAGAAAACTCCTTCCACTCATGCAGATCTGCAGCTTATGGATGACTTAAAGTAATAAAGTTTCCTGAGGGCAATAAAAGGTTAAGTGACTCGTTTATGGTCACATAGCTCCAACGTGTATGTAAGAGAGAACTCGAACCTAAGTCTTTACAACTCTAAAGCCAGCCCTCTATTCATTCTGCTAAGCTGCCTTTGATTAGCATATAATGACAGAACAGCATTCAATTCTGGCATGAAACTTAAAACATCAAATTTTATCTCTCAATATAGACATTATGATGCTATCATGTTATACTTAATGAATATGATATTCAAAAACTGTACCAAAAAGTTCTGTTCCATTGTTTTCCAGGTATTTAGGCCTACATGTGAATTTTCTTTGTCAGTTTATTTTTAAATATCCATCTACTAACTTTGTCTTCTTTGTCTTGAATACCTAATCACTGTTTCCACATTTTAACAGTTAAGTAGAAGGAACAGAAACATTCTTATATATGCAAGTATATAAAATCATAAAATAGGAAATATTTCAAAATGGTATTTTAAAATGTAAATAAAATGATTATTTGAGTGTCTAAAAGGGCAACGCTTCATTGATGCAATACTTAATCCAATCTGACTTCAGCAGTCTTAGAATTCAAAAGCATTTCTAAAATTTATCTTAATATTTATATAACTCTATATGGAAGTTGCAGAATTCAGACTTATTAGAGATCTTAAGAGTTCATCTAGTGCATCCCTTAATTTTACAGGTGAGGAAACTGAGACCCAAAGAGGTTAAGCAACTTGCCCAAGGTCACATAGGTAGGTAGAAGCCCAGCCAGGATTCAAAGCAAGATCTTAAGGCTTCAAATCCAATACTTGGTCTACTGTGCCAAACTGCCTCTTCCTCTAATTCAGATACAAGCATAATAAGTAAAGCTTTTGTTTGAATATTATTCTAGGAGCTACACCAATAACACTGATTTAAAACAAGATTCTTTCAGTCCACTAGTTAGTTAAGTCCCCTTGTATGGAGTAAAAGATACACCCATCATAACTCAATACAGGTGCAGAGAGAGCTAGCTGTTAAAGCTAGAATACAGTGACATTGGCAAAACTATAACATGCCCTTATAATAATTTTTGCTTGAATCTGACCTACAGTAATGTCTCACTGCAGACAGTTCATTTACCATCCACTGGCAGAAGGGGAATCAGCAGGCAAAAAATTTGGAGCAGCAGGTCTATGGGACTTGTGCTAACAGTCACAGATGGAGAGTGAGCTGGTCGTGTGACATTAAAGAGCGTTATTTCCTTTCTTGCTCTCATAATGAAAGGCCAAGAACCCCAAGTACAGGCTCTACCCAAACAGACTAATGGGAATGTTAATGGTTTAATCTTGGGGACAGAAACATCCCCGCTGAGAAAGTTCTTTATATCTGAGCCTTTCTGGAATTTCTAGTGGGGTTTTGGTGGAAGTTTGAAGTATTACCAGAAACACAACTATGTGAGGTTGTCAGCAATATTGCATTTAGACAGTTACTGGTTTAAAAAGACGGTCAGAAAGAACCCCAATCTTCACCAAAGGGTTTTCATTGAGGAAAACAAAGAGTTGTGGCCTCTGTATCATGTGTTCCTTGGAACAAAAGAACAGGGACTAACCTCGGACCCTTGTTCCAGTAGCATCGCTCCTTTGGACGCCGCCGGCAAGGACCATGGCTACAGCAAGCTTTACCAAATACATCCCAAAAACTTGAGGACACAAGCTAGCCAGGATTTCATTCCTTCCTAGGAGATGGAGTAAAAATAATAATTGACCAGTGATTTGACCATTTGACCATCTTTAGACTGCTCGAAGGGCCTTTTTCTCTTGTTCTTTATGGTCTGAAACTGGGATTTTATTGGTTTGGGGAACTACTAGTGTGAAAACGCCACCGATGCAGTCTGGCAACTTAACTGTAATTTCATAAAATCTGAGTGTAGATTGGTGCCCTGAGAAGCTAGGGGACATGTTCACGACATGTTCATGGTCACATAGTTGGTATGTCAGAGATAGGACTTCTGACTTGAAGGCCAACCCCATGCCAAGGTCCACTATGTAATGGTACCTCTCAAGGACCATTCTATTATAGTTAATAAGCAATTAAAAGAGATAGAAAAGGAAGCAGAATCACTTTGTTAAAGTTTCAACTCCCAAGTTCCCCATCTTCTAACTTCATGAAATAAAATGAGTTTTTCCCGGTGCCATCTGTACTGTGCATCAAGTTTTAATAAACTCATCAAACAGGAGATAAATAGTAAGGTGCCTTTTTCTCTCTCCTTTATTTATAGACTTTAAAAATAGCTTCTGTCTCACTCTATTGCTTTTTAACCGTCTTCTCCTATCAAGGCTAGTTCAGGGTGAGAAACCCTGTGGCTTACATAAGAGGAAGTTCATTAAACTTCTCACAAATGATACAACTAGCAGTAGAAGCCCGAGTGTCTTTGAGCAATACTTTATTTGTGGCCTTCAGAACTTAGGGAACAGAATTAGCAATAAATTAATCCTTCTGGTCAATCTAGACATAAGTTTTGAGAAACGCTATACTAAGTTCTGTCTTATCTCGAAAAAGACCCAAATTTAGCATTAGCTTGATAGGAGAATAAGTAAAGAGTATATATTTCAAAATCTGGATCAGTCTCTTGTATTCCAAACTTTACATAAATAATGTCAAAGTACTTAATCTGCCAGTTTGTTTTATGGCAGACTAGACAAAGCACTGGACCTGGAATCAGGGAGACCTGAGTTCAAATTCAGTCTCATAACATTTACTCGCCCTATGACTCTATGTAAAGTCACTTCCTCATCTATCAAATGAGGATGATAATAACACCCACCTCCTAAGGTTGCTGTGAGGATAAAATAGAGGTGATATGTATAAAGTGCTATGCAAAACTTAAAGTGCTATCTATGCAAATGCTATTACTATTATTAAAGTTTTGAATGAATTAGGGTATGAAATGAAGACTCTGGTTACTGTGTTATCTGCTTACTCCAAGGAGGTTTTTAGAGAACCTGAGGTTGTATTAAGAAACTTTTAGTGAACCTTTTAAAACTGACTATTCATTATATTTACAATTGTAGTATTAAAGCTATCCTCTTTTTGTATATTAGTGGCTCTAGAGATTTTCAGGGATTGATAAGCATCCGCTGCTACAGGAACATTCCACTTAATGTCACTGACTAGCTCCAAAAAAACTTTAGGTGAAACAAGATTGCAGGTGGTAGTCTGGTCAACTTCAGCAATGTTCAAAAAGGAAGATGTGGTTCTAGGAAGGCAAAACCAATTTTTACAGAGACTTAAGTCAACAATAAAATGGGGCAGAGATGTTTGGACCCACAGTGTGGGGTAGACCTAAGGGTCTAAGCACCAGAGCGTCTCCTGAGGTTTGGAGCTGGCAATCAGTAGAATTGAGAGGGGTAGAATAGAGGAAAAGACTTAGATGGATAGTCAAGACTAAGTCACATCGTACACAGGGGATGGAGAAATAGGGCTCCTCCCATCCTTGGAACTCCCCAGCCTCCAATTCAAGATCTAGTAGGAAATAATTTTAGTCACTTTATTTTAAAAGATTAACAAAATCACTTGCACACAGCTGGGGAAATTATAATCCATATCCTCAGAGAATCTGAACAATCAGAAAAGTACTAAGTTCTGCTGCAACAAGTGGAATAGGGAGACTGAATGATGAGAGGGGGAGCCAAACTCACCTTCCTCCCTATACATCTTCAAGAGCCACTAATAGGGTGACCCATTGAACTGTAACTTTAACATGCAAAAGTTGGGCTGACAGTTCAAGAAACCTTGCAAATTTTCTTGTTTTCTTTTCCTTTGTGTTACAGAAACCCCTCTGTGTTTACGAATGAGACAGCTCTAGGTAAGGGTATGGCCCTTATAAATGAACCATTTGTACAAAGTACTTAACATCTCAGAGGCAGTGTGGTTTATGTAGTGACTAGAGACCTGGACTTGGAATAAAAAAAATTAAGGTTTAAGTCTTGTCTCTCACACATACTGTGTAATCATGCTTGCAAATCACCTAATTTCTAAGGGTCTCAGAGAATCTTCTAAAAATATATAGATAATTAGGAAATCCCCACACCAATGAAATCACATGTCTATACCAAAATATTCCAAAAACCTTAACAGCTCTGTGATATTTAACAGCTTAAGAAGAGAAGAGAAACCACATCACATGTCTCTGTGATACTGAGCAGTCTAAGAGAAGAACAAAGACTAACTAGGCAGAGGGCTTAGCTGGGATTGGTGATATAACCTGACTTGATTTTAGAGTGGAAGGTTTGGCTGAAATGTATTAACGATATTGGTTGGATCATTTTAGTAGGGTAGGCCAATATTTGGTGTGAAAATGTTGGAACTTGCTCTTTGCCTATGGTTTTGTCACTTCTGTAGTAGAGGAAAATAAGCCAGCTACTCCTAACTGAAATTTCAAGTCTCATCTGCAACCTTAGGAAATAAAAGTATGAACAAACATTTCCCTCCTCAGTTTGTCTATTTGTGTTCTAATTCCCTTCTGTAGAGGCCAAAAATCATCAAATGTACAGGTGGGCTTTAGAAAACTAGTTTTCATAATGATCTAGGTTGACTAAGAGATGACTAAGCCACGGTGTATGTGATGTTGGGCAGCAGACATGGTAAGAAAGACCACCTGGGAAAAAAAGCAATGTGAAAGTAATGATTTGATATAGATTGGAGATGCTGCAGAGGGCATGAAAGTCCAGAGAACAATTAATGAGAGAGAAGGGAGGATTGGAGCACAGGGTATCTGATAGGAAAGGGGAGGAAAGAGGAAGGGAAGAAGAGAGATAAAGAAGAGAGGTTTGCTAAAGCAGTAATATATTCATAGCAGAATAGATGTAGACATGGAAAAGACCTGATAGACCACCTGCTCCAATCTCTTCATTTTGCAGATGAGAGGCCTAAAGTCCAGGGGTATGGTGATTTGTCCAAGGTCTTCAGGAAACCACCCAGGAGAAAATGGCAGAACCAGAATTTGAACCCTGGTATCATAACTCCAAATACAGTACCCTATCCACTATACCACAATGCCTTTTTGGGGGGGAATAGTCAAACCAGTTCTGGTACATGATTATAAACTTAGATCTATGTAAGTACAGATACATGATCATATTTCACAAGCTGGAAGGAAGCTCAGAGGTCATCTAGTCCAGCCTCCACATTTCAGAGGACATGAGGTGACACAGGATAGAATGCCAAACCTGGATTCATGAAGATCTGAATTCAAATTTTGCCTCAAACAGTTGCTAACTGTGTGACCTGGGCAAGTCCTTTAATCTGCACTTGTACAAAGTCTGTTTCCTCATCTGCAAAATAGGGGTGATAATAAGAGTACATACCTCCCAGGGTGGTTGTAAGGATAAAATGAGATAATTCTTGAAAAGCATTTTGCAAACCTTAAAGTGTCATATAAATGTTGGTCATTATTATTGTTGTTGTTTGACAAATGAATAAACGGAGGTCAAGTGATTTGAATACAATCTAATAATAATATAATTGTGACATAAATAAATGATACATATGAAGACTTCAGAGAAGCATGAAGAAATTTATATGAACTGTTGACTGGTGAAATAAGCAGAACAAGGAAAAAATATATGTAATGACTATAATGTAAATAGAACAAAAAAATTACATGAAATACAGTATGATTATAGTGAATGACCAAACTTAGCCCTGGAGAAGAGTTAAAAAAAATTACCTCATTCTTTTCTTTGCAAAGGTGGAAGACTATGGATGTGGAATTCTGTGTATACTGTCAGACACAATTGATGTGTTGACTGGTTTTGCTGAACTGTCTTAATTTTTTTGCTTGTTTGTTTTAATTCTTTGTTATAAGAGACGGCATGATGGGTAGGCAAGAGGTATGGTTTTTTTTTTTTGGTGAGGCAATCGAGGTTAAGTGACTTGCCCAGGGTCACACAGCTAGTAAGTCATGTGCCTGAGACTGGATTTGAACTCAGGTTCTTCTGACTCAAGGCCAGAGCTCTATCCACTGCGCCACCTAGCTGCCCCAAGAGGTATGGGGTATTTTTAAAATGATGGTAATATAAATGCAAAAGGATATAAAATTTTTTAAAGAGGTGTCAGACTGCATAAAAAAGGACTTCTATCTCAAGTTCTACGTATCCCTGGAAAGGACAAATTAATCTGTAAATAAAGGAGTTATAATTGAAGCCTGCTAACAAAGGCTTAAGGATATTCAAGACATAGGGTTAGGAATGTGCAAGATGGCCTAGGGGAGAACCAGGAAGCAACTGTTAATAACTAGATGCCTGTATTGTTGAGTTAAAATGGATTTAATGAACAAGCTAAGAATCTGTGTTAAATACTTGTATAAATATTCTATACCCCAAGATTTCCTCATACTATATTACAGCATTTTTGCTTTCTAAATGGCTGACTAAACATGTGATATTTTCCAGACTCATATGGAAGTGTTACCAGGAACAGGTAGAGAGGAAAGTCTATGCTCCAAAAGAGAAAGTCCTTATGTCTTGGTTTGGTGGCAATGAAAATGACCAGTGACCAAATAAAGAGTATATTCAAGTGTTTCTGAGTAGGTTAGTCATAGGAGGAAACACAGTGGAGTAAACACTATTTTACTCAGCACTGCCTCTAGAAACTGGTTCAACTCAACTTCAGTTGTGTAGATTTGGCACGGAAAGAACCACATGAGATGTGAGATGTGAGATGTTTGGAAAAACCTTAAGTCATTATAAAAGTCAGCAATTGTTACTTGCATTTAGAATATAAGTAATGTTAATTCCACTCTGGTCTGTAACAGCTGTCAAAGTCTAATATAGCTCTGATTTAAACCCCAATCTAGACTGGAGCACCCCCAGGAGCACCACCGTTGCTTATGGGGTCTATTTGGTTTGTGTCATTCCAGAATGAGTACAGGGTGGCCTTGAAGACTCAAGACCCTTGGCAAAGAGTAAGCCAGTATTAAAGAGACTTGTACTAACCTTCAAATATTGATACAAAACCTAAAGGTCCTAGGTTCAAATTAGTCAAAACCTTTGGAGCCAAAACTAAACTGAAATTGAGCCAGCCAATGGGAGACAGTGAACGAGTAAGGTACACAGGTAATTGACAATATTTTCAGGCTTTTTTGGCCAACATAATGAGCTTATTTTTTTTTTAAATGGCTCCTTTCAGGGTCACTCCCTCTTACCTTGAGTTAATGATACCCAGAATACATTTTATGTTTTGTATACTAAGAGGGTTCTACCAGTTTATACTACTATGTTTGCTGTGAATCTGTCTTGTCTCAGTTTTCCCATCTGGAAAATGGGGTTAATAATAGCACCTACCTCCCAGTTGTTATAAGGATAAAATGAGATGATATTTGTAAAGGGCTTTGCAAACCTTAAAGCACTTTACAAATGTTACTGATGAACTAGCATTTTCTTTATTTCCTTCTCAAGGATACTATCTTTGCTGAGGAAGGACATTTCGCCTTCTGGGTCATCTGATCAGTGCTATACTACTTTAATCTTTGTTTGCAGTGAGTGAAGAATGCTTTGATAGTCTCCTTTTGTGAAGCACCAATACAAAGCACTTCAGAAAGTAGGATGACAGCATTGTACTTGATTATCCTACTTTACCAACATGCGGAACTGAGCAATAGAGTTATAATGAGCAGGAAGAGACTTTGGTAGTTAAAATGGAAGCTCTTCCAAACAAGTGCTCAAGTGGTTTATGAAGAATATCAATGAAATTTACTTTCTGAAATAAAAAAAAAATCTTTCCAAAAATTTAAATGAATGGGGTTTCCTAGATAAGACTATGAAGTACAGAATTCATTAGTATAATAAATGGGACCATATTGAGTGTGTGTCTATACATACACATTTATAGACACACACATAAAATAGATATTTTAAATTTCAGGGTTTGTTAGAAAACTACAATTATACAAGAAAAATGGTTCCATTTACATATACTCCAATGATATGATCAGGATTAAGTTGTCTATACATACAAAAATATTAGCATTAATTGCTCAGACTTTTTAAAAGATCACCTATAGTTAGTATTTAGTGAGATAATTAATATCTGATAGAGCATGTGAACACTAATAATACTTTTGTACTTAGAATGTGCTATGATTGTGATTTAATGACAATTCATATTAGATTTAAAGTTGGGTATGTCTCAACAGCTAATCATAAAATTTCTCTTCCTAGCTCCTTTTCCCCCAGAAGATGCCTCCAGGAAAGAATTAATGGGGAAGATCTGACATCTCAGGAGTTAAAAAGTATCTATTTTAAAATTTTAAACAAGATACTGTTTTTTAAGGCCTTACTGAGATATTTTAATATGTATAAATTATATCACAGAAAAATTTACGTTAGGACAGAAGATTTTTGCTGTGTGATGGAACCTTTTCATTGAATTGCACTAGTTTCTTCACTAACATCTGCATTTTTTTCCCTTCCCACCTTCTTCTGTCTCTCTCATACACAGATGTTCTTCCATTCAAACACTCTAGCTAAAATGTCTTATGAGCCACTGATGTACCAGAAAAAGAAATAACCTTAAAGAAATGTAATATTATAGAAGAACAACAGAATTTGTTTCAAGGAGATAGTGTATTTAGAGGCTGCACAGACATTCCTTCTGAAATTTATGACAAGACAAAAGACACTCTTCAGCTGTAAGAAGTTACAAGTTTCATGAAGCTCAACCTTAATTTCCCAAGAAGTTTTTTCAACATAGATGATAAAAAGGCTTGCAATACAGAATAAATGTATAGGCACTGATTCTGACCCTATATTAACCTAGTTGTTGAATTATACAAAACATATATGTGTTCTAAAACTATTCATGATATCCAAACAACAAATGAAACATCAGTGAAAACTACCCTTAATCACAAACCTGCCAAGGGATCGTTCTTGTAATGTTCCCAAAAATTCTCAAATTCCTTGCGAACCTCCTCATCAATGATATTGCCTGTGGATTGTTCGTTATTCACTTGGACATAATTGGCTTTCAAGACTATCTCCACATCACATCGAACATCTTGATGGAAAGGGCTCCACCGCTGCATCACTACCCCATAAATGGTGAGGTCATCACCTTGGGAAGAAAACCAAGTTAGTTAAGAGAAAGTGTCTCACAGAATAAATCACCGTCCCATCTGGTTTTCAGGGAGGTTCACAGACAAAGAACTCTGGGGGAAAAAACAATATACTAGAAAATTAATAAACAAGCACTTAATAAGTACCTATTACATGCCAGGCTCTGTGCTAAGCGTTTTATAAATATTATCTCACTTAGTCTTTGCAAGAACCTTGGGAGATAGGTGCTATTATCCCTATTTTTACGTTTAGTCCCTATTATCTCTATTCTACAGTTGAGGAGACTGTAGGTTAAGTGACTTGCTCAGGGTCACATAGCTAGTCAGTGTCTAAGGCCATGGTTGAATTCAGATCTTCCTAACTCCAGGCCCAGAACTCTACCACTGAGCCACCTAGCTTTTGCCACTAGGACTCACAATTTCCATAGGAAACTATATTTGCAAAGATAAAAATGATGCTAACATTAAAAAAATTTTCTAAGTCCATAAGAGCACTAAAATATTACTTTTTACTAGAAAAGTATTATCCTGAATGATTCACTTCTTCAAAAGATATATGATTTCATCTCCTTCCACTGACACAGAAATCAAAAGCCCCCATGCCTTAGTTGATGATCTTCATAAATTTCTGTGTCCAAAAAAACACCAACCAAAACAACTCATCACTTGGTAGCCAACAAATTGTAGTGATAAGCCTACAAATTTAGCTATGGGTGACAATTTGTCACTTGGCCATACTACTAACTTTTTTCAGATTGGAAAGACTTGCCAAAAGCTTATGTTTCATTGGGAGAGTCTTTCAGAACCTAAAGTTACCTCTATACCCTGACAAGCTAAATGTAGGACTTTAGTGGAGGCACTTAAAATAAAGAATAAATAAAATTATTTATTTGGGTAAAGAGATGTAGAAGTTGAGGCAAAGAGAGTTTAAACCACTATCCACTTGATGGTAAGAGACAAGAGCAGAAGAAAGCTGTTCTCTCACTATGATGTGTTCATTTTCAGAGCCAGCATCTCCGTTTTAGATAAACCCCTTAGTTTACTTGATCCTTTGTTATACTTCAAAGACCTTTCACATAAATTTTCAGGAGCATGGGATCAATCAGTTAATTAATTATACACCTCTGCGTCAGGCACAGTGCTAAACACTGAAGATACAAGGAAAGAAGGTGGGAAATCCCAACCCTCAAAGAGCTATTTTATCACAAGAAACAAAAAGTACACATAAGGAAATACTAAATGTATACAAAATAGATATAAGGTGATCTTGTTGGGACCATGAAGGGGCACTGGCAGCAGGGGAATTGTTAATCTAGTCATTATGAAGCTTTCATGGTTCTTTGACATTATGTGGTCCTTATTCCATTAATCTCCACCTAAGGAGTCCGTTTCTTTGAATTTACAGGTGTTTTCTTCTTATAGCACAGTGCCTGGTACATAGTAAACACTTAATAAATGTTAGTTGACTGACCCAAGGTTCACAGGATCTCAGGTTTAGAGCCAGAAGGGCCCTAAAAGGTCATCTAGTTCAAATCTTTGATTTTGTAGATGAGGATAAGGTCCAGAGGTCTAAGTGACTTGACTTATAAGTCATCCAAGTATAAGCAGCTGAGCCAGAATATGAACTAAGATGCTCTCTGTCTTCCCACTTATTTTAGATTTCAATTCCCTATTTACCATTTTCTTCAGTCCTCTCTAGTCCAAAGATTATTATTTTTGCAAGATAAAACAGAACAATAACAAAAGATAAATAGTTGTGTCTTAAGTTACCATTTTCCAATCCCTACACCTCAATTCTGAGGGATTAGTTGCAGTACAAGCTCAATGTGATTCTATAAGGTGATGAGATATCCTGTTGTATAGAACATGGAAGGTGATATAGTATTGTCATGCTCAGCCTTTGTCAGACCACATCTGCTCAGTTCTAGGTTCCATGTTTTAAGAAATATATTGACAGCCCATAATATAGTCAGAGGAGGGTGAATAGGCGGGTGAGGAGACTCAAAGTCTAATTATACAACTATCAGTTGAAGAAAATGAAGATGTTTAGAAGAGGGAAAGGGACATGATACCTGTTTTTAAATGTCTGAAGGGCTTCCACATGGAAAATTAATTAAAATTGTCTTTTGCCCCCAAATGAAATAATAATAGTAGATCGGTATATGTTTGTAAAGCATTTTATATACAATATCACATCTGAAAGGGAAGAATTAGAAGCAGTACATTGAAGTTGCAGAAGATTTCAGCTTGATAGAAGGATAAAGTTCCTAACAATTAGGGCTCTTTCAACAGTCTGCCTTGGAAAGTAATGACTTCTACTTGAATTAGCTCCTGCTCAGGTACAGGTTGAACTTGATGACATCTGAGGTCACTTCCATTGAATGAAATACTGTGTCTTTGGCAACCTGTCCATTTGCTTGCATATCAGTCTGGAAAAATGTGTTTTTAATTAATTTTGTTTCTCCAGTATGTATGGTTCAACCAATATTTGTACATTCTGATGGATTGCACTGAGGAGGCTTTGAAGTACTCTTGAGTCTTAATGTAATTAGTATGATATCATCTAAAAATAGGTGCATTTGAAGAACCTTGCCTTTAATAAGTCATCATTCTTCAGTTTTGACTTTGTGCCATATCTTCTGTGAAACTGGCAAAATATCTGGGCCCCATAGGGACATCTGATTGCAGAAGGGCTGGCCCATGGTGGGGGTATTTGTACAAACAGCTCGAACTTGAGGAGACACTGTACTGCCAAATTAGCCATTACCAGCAAAGCCAAAGCTTGCATCCTGAAACTCTTTCTGGTCTCATCTGTAAGTGCTCCGGGGATTATCTGGCTTATCTGCATCTCTGGCCATACTCTCTGAAGGACATTTGCAAATCAATAGCTTTTCACTATTTTGTGAGATTGTAACTGCTTGTTGTCTCTCATCTTCCACTGTGATGTTTTTCAAATGTTCTTACATTCTTTACTAGAATTGTTCCTGGACACCATAAGTGTCTCCTTGGAAAGAAAAGGAAAGTATTTGTTGACCAAGGTGATTTCTGGGCTTTTTCAGCCTTCTTTTTGTGATGGTTTTTGTTTTGCCTTAGTTAAAGTTTTCTAAGATGGTCAGGGTTCAAGGTCAATGTTTTGCCTTAGTTAAACTTCCCCAAGATGGGACCAGGTAAGTGCCATGACTTTTGTCCATTTCCTTTTGGTTGACAGTTTGTCAAAATTAACCAGATACTGTAATCAGTGTTTTCTTTCCTACCTGACAGAGATTCTCCTTCTTCTCCTTCTATTTCTACATTACATATGGAAATGCTAATTTCACTTGGTGTTCGTAAAGTTCAGAATAAAGAGAAAATAAATTGGAAAAAAAATCAGTGCCTTCTTATGTTTCTCCTTTGGTCTAACTTGCTTTTTGACTTCTGCTCTAATGAGCTGATGCTCCGTCTGTACACAGAGTGTTTCTAAAGTATTAATAATAATAACAATAATAACCAAGCAGGCAAGCAATTAACAATAACTTATTAAGCACCTAGTGTGTGGCAGGTCCTATGCTAGGTGCTGGGAATGAAAATAAAATGAATAAAAAATCCCTACTGCAAAGAAGCTTACATTCCAGCAGGGAGCTAATAGCCCACATAGAAACAGAACAGACATTTCTATTGTGCTTTCAAGTTTGTCAGGAGTTTTATATTATCTCATTTGAGCTTCACACCCACCCAGGCAGGCAGGTACTATAGCTATTACTCCCATTTTAAAGATGAAAAAAAAAATATGCCAGGCTAACGTGACTAAAACTGACCTTTGTTGACTTTCAGCACCTGAAAGTAAGACTTAGCCAATCAACTAGCAAGAGCTTCCAAACTGCCTCATATGTTCCCCTCGGGCTGTTCTACACGCTGTCCAGGATATAAAAAACAAAATGTAAGATATTATCACTGCCCTCAAGGAATTCATATAGAGTTGAAACATGGAGTGTTAATCTCAGGGTTCAGCTCTAGATACTTACCTACTCCTTATTTTACACTGTGCTAGGAATTTGCTATTCTTCATTTTTTTTTGTGCTATTCTTCATTTCTAATCCTATATCCTCAACTCCTAACCCTATATACTTAATGCAGTGTCGGCACTGCAAAATGTTTTCCAGTGCTGTTAGTGCCAGAATACTGTGCCATTCCTAGGCGGCTTCACATCCAATCTGCAGGCAGAACTTTGACATTTTGCAAAAAGCACTCAGTAAATGCTAAATATGTGGAATTCATGCTGCTGACTCACAGACTGAAATATTACACACATATATTTCTAGTCAGAGGGAGCTTCACACAAAATGTCAAGAAGCATAGTGTTTAAACTATGGAGTGCCTCATACATATACTAAAGATCTTTCCGGAACTACTGCTCAAAATATTGATGAAACTCAATGGGAAAAGAAATTGGCTAATTCTATAACATCATCTCACTAAGCATTTCATGGTGTAGAAATCAATATATAGTAAATGTATCAATTGACATCACTTTACATGCAGCATTCAGAGAATACCAAGTGCATTTTAGTTGATCCTTCGGGTTGAAAAGATTGTCTTTTAGATCATTTCTAAACTGATCAAACAAGGCACTTGGATTTTACATAGGCACCTACTAGAGAGGGATTATATTTTGTTTTGTGTGTTCTGTAGAGTAAATACTGAATAAGGTATAGGAACTTAATCACCATATCCACAAATAAGTTTTTAAAGTCTATGACCAATCTTCCCATCACCACTGTAGTTTCCCCTGCCTCTCAACTCTTCCCTACATTCCATGGGGCCAGTGATGTTGCATCTGATACCAGTGACTACCTATAATATATTACTACCAACATTACCCTTCGTTGATCTAATGCTTTATGCTAATCAAAGTCCTTTCAAATGAATGTGTATTTATTTATTTATTTTTGGAGTTTTTTTATTTATTTTTAGTTTTCAACATTCACTTCCACAAGATTTTGAGTTCCAAATTTTCTTCCTA